CTAGTCCTACATCATGACAGGTTATTAAGCTGTGGAAGTAGCCAATTGAGTCCAGTCTTGCATCCTGACAGGTTATTAAGCTGTGGAAGTAGCCAATTGAGTCCAATCTTACATCCTGACAGGTTGTTAAGCTGTGGAAGTAGCCAATTGAGTCTAGTCTTACATCATGGCAGGTTATTAAGCTATGGAAGTAGCCAATTGAGTCCAGTCTTACATCATGACAGGTTATTAAGCTGTGGAAGTAGCCAATTGAGTCCAGTCTTACATCCTGACAGGTCATTTAGCTGTAAAAGTATCCAATTGAGTCCAGTCTTACATCCTGACAGGTTATTTAGCTGTGGAAGTAGCCAATTGAGTCCAGTCTTACATCATGACAGGGAATTAAGCTGTGGAAATAGCCAATTGAGTCCAGTCTTACATCCTGACAGGTCATTTAGCTGTAAAAGTATCCAATTGAGTCCAGTCTTACATCCTGACAAGGTTATTTAGCTGTGGAAGTAGCCAATTGAGTCCAGTCTTACATCATGACAGGTTATTAAGCTGTGGAAGTAGCCAATTGAGTCCAGTCTTACATCATGACAGGTTATTAAGCTGTGGAAGTAGCCAATTGAGTCCAGTCTTACATCCTGACAGGTTATTAAGCTGTGGAAGTAGCCAATTGAGTCCAGTCTTACATCATGACAGGTTATTAAGCTGTGGAAATAGCCAATTGAGTCCAGTCTTACATCATGACAGGTTATTAAGCTGTGGAAATAGCCAATTGAGTCCAGTCTTACATCCTGACAGGTTATTAAGCTGTGGAAGTAGCCAATTGAGTCCAGTCTTACATCCTGACAGGTTATTAATCTGTGGAAGTAGCCAATTGAGTCCAGTCTTACATCCTGACAGGTTATTAAGCTGTGGAAGTAGCCAATTGAGTCCAGTCTTACATCATGACAGGTTATTAAGCTGTGGAAGTAGCCAATTGAGTCCAGTCTTACATCCTGACAGGTTATTAAGCTGTGGAAAGAGTCCAGTCATACATAATGACATTCCGCCATAACAGCCAATGAGATTTGTAAATACACTTCCATGAGCAGACGACAAACGTGAACAAACCTCACCAGATTATTAACGGGAAATATTCATGTCGTAATTTTTAACCCAACATTGTCTCCATTCTTTCCAAAGATACACGATGCAAGGGTTAAACATGTCCCTTTCCGATTATGACGGCAGAACCGCTCTTCATTTAGGCGCGGCAGAAGGCAAGTGTGATTTCATTTGTATCTTTGTGACATTCCGACGTTCAATTGGCTTTGCAGTAATCTGATTTGTATAACATCTGTTGTATTGGCTTTAGAATATATATATATATATTGTATTTGTTTACTTCACTTTTACCACTATTTTGTCATTTATCTTCATCATGACAGCCATACATAATTACGTACGTTCGTAATACATCTGGGTAGACTGGCTACGCGGCTTGGAGGGGCGGGGTTTCTAAAAAACAAACACAAAACAGTCATATATTACAAGCAGAATTTCACGAAAAATTGTGTTTTTGCTGGGACTGATGTATAGAGAGATGCTGAATTGTTCGAGTTACGGACACGCTCCTATTTTAAACCACGCCCAAATCGAATTGTAACTCGATGTTCAATTACCTTCGAGTTACGGGCAACATACATTGTCCAATATATGTGCATTTGTTTATATCGCCAGGTCACCTTGATGTTGTTGAATTTTTAATGAAGAGATGTAAACTGGACCCTTGTCCGCGTGACAGGTAGGTACACACGCGACATCATAGTGCCAGGGCACTGGAATATCAGAGGTCAATCACGAGTTATCTAAATTTATAGCGTTACAGTCGTCACACAGCGCGTGTTAGCCTGACCATGGAAGGTACTAACGTTACTAACGTTACTAACGTTAAGGTCCATGGTCTGACAAGGTCGCGTGAGTTGCGCCCTCCGCTGTGCTCCAAACCAAACACAGTGTGGCCTGATGCCGTTCGGCCGGCGAGGGCGCCACTCACGCCTACATGTGAGGCTAAGCGCATGTTTGAATTGATGCAAACAAAACAAACAATGTATTTTATACGCGTTGTAAACGTTAACCCATATCGAACAGGAAGCGGCGCGACGACTGTAGCGTTATAGACTATAAATCTTGCTGAAACCGATTGACGCTTATTGGCTTTCATCCTCGACTTAGAGCCGCTACGTATACATAGATGCGATTATTCGTGAATCCAAGATACAATGTTATCCGAATTACAATTACAAACCCCAATCCCTAACATAATGTTCATTATTCTATACCATATTGTCTGTTTCAGGTGGGGGTTTACGCCAATGGACGATGCTGTACGTTTTAATCGCCAGGAAGTTATATCATTCTTGGAAACGTACCATACACCAATAAATGAAAAAGGTGACGAGAAAAACGAAGATGAATTACGTCACTAACGTCATCACTGGTTGACAATAAAAAATTACATTTACAATTTTATAGCAATTTACAATATGTTGTAATTATTTGCCTTGCCAAGCACAATGCAGTTTTTAAATGATTGAGTATTGGATAACGTCTGCATTTACATGAGATGAAATATCATAGCTTTTGTTATATAAATACACTTTTTTTATACTTTTTAAAACTAAAAATCAAATACTGTTTTGTTCATAACTGAGCTATATTTAAAAAAAATAACAGTATGTGTAATTTTAGTCACGTGTTTGAAAGGTATTTGCAATAAATGATATTTATTTCCATGCTTTGTGATGAAGGTTAATGGATCAAGTGAAGTTCTAGTTGATTTATTGGTTTATTTATTGTTTTTTGTCGTAAATTAAAAATGTTGATTTGATCGTATACAAGAAAAAAAGTATTGTAAATATGACACTTTATAATAATATTTTTAAAGTTTATTGTTTATTAGTCAATCCTGACATTCCAAACAGTTGAAAAATCCATCACATTATCGTTCTCTGTCTAAAATCTGTACTGTGTAATGGCGACATTGACTGACCGACTGTGGTTTGGCAGAGAATGTGAAAATTAAACGTGTTTCGTTTCCACTGACGACTGTCGGCGTACAGATGCACCTACACGATCGATTATCTGTCGTATAATTCATCTTTACTGCCTCCTGGACTAGTAGTATTCGATGTTCAGACCGTCACGGTATTCCGAGATTCCGCTTCGGGTTACATGCATGAATTGTCTTGATTGTATATACATGTACATGTACATGTACTCCCGTCACGGTATACTCGCGTCCCGTGAGTTTACTGCAATTCAGCAAAACTTGGATGTGAAGAAAGCCCAGAAGGCATCAATCTGATAAATAAAGCATACGTGAATCTACTTATGTGACAGGAACATCATGCATCTGTAGACAACATCCAAAGTACAATACTTTTCTTTGTGAAAGGTTGAGATTCCGTAGTGTCCTAACACCGGGGATAAGTGTCAGTTACTGGCGGTTCAATTCACAAGTTGGCAATGGTATTCTGTTAAGAAGGTAATATAGTGTGCACATTATCAGAGGACAAAGCGACATCGTTCATTTCACAACTGCAGAAACTACTATCACTCATGCTCGAGTCTTCGTTTCTATCGACAATATTTACATCATCATTTTCTGCTCCACCGTCAACCATCCTCGCATCACCGCATTCACTGACATTCTTGGTGAATGCGTTAGTATCTCCCGCTCCAGTAGTCTCACGGCCGTTATATTTAAGCTCGGCGCGGAGTTTCTTGATGAGTCTGTCCTTGTTCGCGTTTTCTTTACTAAGATGTCTGACAATCGTTTCTTTACTTGCTAGTCTTGAACGTAAAAGTGCGTTTTCACGATTGGCTCGTTTGATACAGGTGGCCGTTGATTTAACTGACTGCCCGTTGGATGTTATTGGTTCCCCACAACCACTACTGTGTCTCCGTATCTGCGTCATTTTTTGCTTCATGTGAATAGATTCTTCCTTCACTCGAGCAAGTCTATCCTCGAACTCCTTCACTTGGTCTGACACTACTCCCAGGTCGTTTCCTAGTTCCTCAGTCAGTGTGCTCATTTCATTCTCATCCTCTGTGCTAATCGCCCTCTCTCGCTCATTTTGCAGAAGACGGCAGAGAATTTCCATATCCAGAGTACGTTTTTCAAGCTCTGTCTGAAGCTTCTCCTTGTCACTTTCCAATTTTACGACATGTTGATTTCCGTTGTCGATTTGCGATATCAACTCACCCACTCTTGCTGTAAGCGTTTTAACTAAGCATTTGTTCTTATCCCGTCTTGGCCCGGCAGTGCAATATATCAGAGTAGCGCCAAATACACCAGTCAGAACGCCGCCAAAGAAGTAAACTTTTTCTCCAATATAATCCATAACACAAGACATAAATAATGAACGGAGTGGTGGACCGAATAGTACATAAACGTTCGATCTCCCAGTTCGATTCTAGAACCATTCGATTTTACAACGCGCGTTCTATTAATGGTGTAATTTCGCTTTGGAACTAAAGAACTATTTTCTTTGAAGAAAGTACGAGTTTACATTTTGTTTTGGTTTGACACGTCAAGTAATACATGCAAATAGCTAATAAATAAACGCTTTCAGGACCAATAAACATGATATATTTTAGATAATATTCGGTAATCGTTGTCCTTAGTATTTATTCAAATACTATAGTAGCTATTCTCGGGGCAACCATCACGGTGAAAACAAAGGCCGACAACTTTCAGAAAACGGCACTTTGGGTTGGTTGTTGAGACTCCCCTGAACAGTGTAACAAGATCACCTCTGCATGTCCAACATATATCAAATTGGTTGTCCAAGATTACTTCGTCGAAGTTGATTTTGTGCTGTTTTTCGAATTTAGCTATTTTCACCGGCTCGTCGACCGGCGTTCCACAGCAGCTCGCGCAGAGCCCATAGAAATACTGACATGGTACGCGTCTTAGCAACATGGAACGTCTTGTGACGTAGCTCCGCCCCGAGGATACTTCGAGCAATGGCTTTTTAACGATAGATAGCATAGAAAAAAAGTTTTGATTTGATTTTTGTTCAATTTACCAAAATTTTTACTTAGAACAACGATTACCAAAAATATCTACTATATATATTATAAGTAACATATGTACTGCAATAAACAGCTACTTACTTTGTAAGATATGAGCCTTGTAACCTAATAACCAAACAATTACATAGATTTGAAGTTGGCTTTGTTTGATTTTTCAGTATCGTAGGCAATCTCCTTCCCAGAGATTCTTGCGGCCAGAACACCGAAAGTATCTCCGCCGCCACATGCCGCCATTTTGACTTTCATTACGCGTATTCTTGACAAACTAAAATATTGCCCTGGACTGAAAAGTGTCAACATGGATATGTATGTATAAAACATTTGGAATTAATAATCTGTTTTCATAGTTTCGAATATAACCAGACCGAAACCCCAACAGTATTCTAGTTCATCGCCCGATGTATCACTTCTATTAAAAATAATGCGTCAGTCATCGGTTAAAATAGTCGGGAAACCCCGGACAATGCATCAGCGCAATTTACAGTTCATACTTTTTACGATATTGAGAAAGTTGTATAAGAGGAAGGAATGTGTTCACCGGGAAAGAAGACCGAATAGGGTTGGACACGACTCGGTGATGAATAAATGTGGCTTTAGTTGATTTTTCAGACTTTGTCGATAGTAAAACTATAACCAAACAACAAGACAGTGGGATTAGAAAAGTCAGTGTATACGATTACATAATTGACGTCAGTGATGACGTGGGCGTTGTCAGATTTACAATATAGTGGTCAATAGTTTCACAATGCTCCAATACTTCCGCTTCATAATATTTGTGTATGTTCGTATGTATGATGCTTAGACTGATTCTCTACAAAATGGATGGTTACTGTGACAACACAATCTTTACTGCATTATTTTGTGTTACTTCTTCAAACAATGGTGAAGTTATTCAATATTTAGCCACAGTGCATCAAACCAACATCCACGACGGTGTCTTCACTGGTCTGCTAACCACCATTATTACTAAAGTATACATTCAATATGGGGTGAACATATCAAAAACAGTACGGTCACTGGCTCAGGTATAGAACAAAGACAAAGCACACAATTTATCTTTTTCGAGAGGCACCTGGGTATGCTGTTTTCATCTGACTTGAAATCTACCACCTCACAAATCCTATAAACACGTCAACGATAAACAAAGGATTATCTCGCGACCTTGTTGCCCGACATGAGTCTTTAATTTACCAGATTCAGTCAGTTGCATTTTTAAATCCTGCTAAAATAACTGGGGTTTCGTTTCTAATAGAGAAAATACGGTAAACATATTGTATTGTCTTTATTAGGCTTTGTGGTATGACACAGCTCAAATTGAAATCACACATACATGCGTTATCATAAAATAAATAAATAAATAAATAACTTAAATACGAATTAAATAAACAGTGCCTAAACATTAGTTTGGTAATACGGCGGAAATAATAAGTTACGAGTACTAGTAATTACTGGTGTTCCTCGGCTGCTCTACGAATGTCTTGCATAGCGCCACCCAGGTAGTCGTGTAAACGTTTCAGAACTTTAAACTGTCTTATATTCGTCAAGGTAAATCGTTGAGAATCATGAGTCCATCGCAGTCAATGGGGATATTGTTGTCCGTCTCTTCAATGTAGCCTAATTTATGTAGCTGTGTTAAAAAATGCAAAATGTTGGAATGATTAAAAATATACAATATTGTATATAAAATATCACAGATGTGACGACATAATGCAATTACTTATAAATACGCTGAAAAGGTGTTGTTTAATTAGGTGGATTAGTGTAATAATAATAATCTTTATTTATAAGCGTATCCTTAATTGAGATATTGTTCGTTCATACTACAATAAAGTTAAATGTTGAAAGTTAAAATGAAATGAGAAGAAAAATAAGAGAAAAAATATATATATTATTTTCTTTAAATTATGAGGCAGCTGGCCCCCTTTTTTTTGATTTAATGAAGTTTTCTCTCATGCAAATGTTATGATAAAATTGTGTACAGCAAAGCCTATAATATATATGATTGCCTATATTTGAAGACAAGTTTTCTCTCATTAAGAAGCCTTGGTATACAAATTTGCCTAAATTAACATGTTTTCGTATTTTGTTTTTAGTATATTTACTAGTTTTTCTTCTAGCGTGTTCCTCGACACGTATACATGATACTTACCAGCGAGTTGAGCTGTTCGACGACGCTCTTTAGTTTTGTAAGGATGGCCATATGCTCATCGTGGTTGTTCTCAGATCCAGCGATCAAGAGTGAAAGTTCGTCATTTCTGATAACGGTAACGAATGACAGAAATGTGTTTAAATTGTCTCTGTGTAACGCAAGTATATTCCTCTCCTGTAAATGGAACAAATGGCCAATTTATTTAATTTTAATGTCACATGGCCGTTTTACACACGCGAGGCAATAATGATACACGGCACAATTAACTATCATGACAACGGACAAATAGTTGCCTGAAGTACAGTCATGTTGCCCGACTCTTGACGACGCGATTATACCATACCATGGAGGTAAAACGAGATGACCATACAAACGAAGCAGCTAGAGCGTTGTGTATCGCATTGCCTCATATCTCCGTGTCTTCTTTATGTGATGTCTAAACTACCAATATCAGTTGAAAATGTTGAACTATGAAATTGATTGTACAAATGTGTTAATCTCATTCACAAACGTCGTTTGGCTTAGTCGTTGGTGGTATCTGCCATGCTAAACTTCGAATTTACATGTCGCTGTTGAATGCTACTTGTAAGCGTAGCCTGACAAGTTGG